TGCTTGGGAAAGTTGAGGGTCAGCAAAAAGAGGAAGCTTTTCAACAAATGGACTGGCACAGTGGCTGCAATTATGGGCTTAAGCACAGCAACAATGGTGAGGATGGTGCAGGAATAGGTATGTTTTGTTCTGTTGTACACAGGGTTGTTATGAGTAGAAACCAACTCGATGGCACCTAACAACAAGTGGAAGCATGTTAAGATATATGACTAGAAATACAATGTATGCTGTGTATACTCCTCTTGCATCCCTTTGTGATTTTCAGGTTATGGTACTTAGTGGTTTGGTGGGATAGACAAGCCTTTCAGACCACTTTTTTATACATTCTCCCCATTACGACCTTTTACATTATTAATAAGCTTCTTGGTATCTAGGGTCTTAAAAGCTTGCAACTGGCCATCTGAGGTACAGCAAATAGTCTTATTCTGACTAGAGTAACAACGAGGAAACTAAAGAATCAACAAGAACAACACGTTCCACAAAAAGGTATCCTACAAAGCAGCACCTATGAGACTAGAAGAACCTAGATTAGTGTTCAGCCAAAGCTCTGTGATCAAAGATTCTAGTCAAATCATGATCAGGTGAAGGGCAATGTCAAATAGAGGCTGACAGCAGATATCTTGCTTTGATTCTGGGATTTTAACTTACAAAACCAAATATTTACTTCAAAGAAATTCCTGACCAAAATTAATCCACCAGTGGTCTTTCTTTCACCCAAAATTGCAAATCCTCTCTTTCCCATTTGAGGCCAGGCTTACTTCATTTGAATTTAAAAAGATATGGCTGAATAGAGGGCCAGAGACTATCTTGTAACTTGGTATTCATTGATCTCAATAAAAAGGGGTGGACAGGGTTCATCAATCATGTTAAAATTAGCTTATGGTTGACTGTCATTATTTCTCCCTTCTCTTCTCTTTATAATCTTCATTGTACCTAGCTTCACTGAAACATTTGCTTTTGCTAAAATCAAAATGGCCTCCCTATACGCATACATAGTAGGCGCTCTGGTAGCATAGTGCCTAAGCACTTGACTGCCAACCAGAAAGCCAGCGGTTCAAACCCACCAGCCACTCCTTGGAAGGAAGGTTGGGCAATCTACTTCTGTAGTGATACTGCCTGGAAACCCAAGGAGGGGTCACTATGAGTTGGGTCCGACTTGAGGGCACATAACAACAACATATGCATACACAATGACTGCTTAGAATAAAGCTATGTTTAAATTTCCCTGAGTTTTGATGATTTTTCCTTTAACCTTTTTTTCATTGTAGTTGTTGTACCACTTCAACAGTTTGTACATGTACAGTTCAATACATTAAGTACATTCTCCCTATGTAATCATTCTACTTGTTGTTATCACTTTGATTCCATGTAGATAGGTCTTAAAAGAGCATAATGCTCAAAGCAGGTATTTTTTACTAGTTAAGCTAAACTATTGCTCAGTTTTAAGACGACTTCAGGGTATATGTTTCATTTAGAGTTTAAAGATTATCTCAGGGCAAAAACTTCAGGGGTTCATCTACCTTCCATGACTCTAGTCCAGAGTCCAGAAGAATTCGAAAACCTTTTCTGCATTTCCCCCCTTTTGATCAGGATTCTTCTATAGACTCTATGATCAAAATACTCAGTAATGGTAGCTGGGCATCATCTAGTTCTACTCTCACGGCAAAGAAGGCAGTTGTTCATGGAGGCAATTAGTCACACCTTCTATATCTTCCTCCTACTCCTGACTCTACTTCCTGTTGTTCCAGGTGAATAGAGACCAACTGCTATACTATGGATGGCCGCATGCAAGCTTTTAAGAGCTCTTGTGTTACACAATGAATTAGAAGGTAAACCAGAATCACTAAACATGCTATTAGGCCCATTAACTGTGATATCCCATGAAACCATGATCATGATTCTAAACCTCTAAATCATAAGGTGTTTGCTTGTACATAAACAACCTCAGCAGGTACTTTCTTTTGTTGTTTTGGTAAATACAGGTACACCTTGCTTAATATATGCTGGGGCAATCAACGTCTAACTACATATATGTATGTGGTCCCATAAGTTTTTTTTTTTTTTGAAAAGCAGCTCCTTTATTACTTCTCCCTAATGGTTTTAAGCAGGAACTCTGGTGGTGTAGTGCCTAAGGCACTTGACTGCTAACCAGAAGGCCAGGGGTTCAAACTCACCAGCCACTCCTAGGAAGGAAGGTTGGGCAATCTACTTCCGTAGTGATACCGCCTTGGAAACCGAAGGAGGGGTCACTATGAGGCGAAGTTGACTCGATAGCACATAACAACAACAATGGTTTTCAAAGACTTCAAATGCAGACTCTTGAAGCACTGGACTATGGCTGGAATATAAGCAAGTGAGAAGAGGACTTGGTTCTGGGCATAGGCTCTTGGCTTTGTCTGACAGGCAGGTGGTGGCAAGGGCTGTGGCACCCAGACTGCTTCTGATATATAGGCAGGCAAAACAGTCAGTGGGGCTGGGTGTTCCACTCCCTTCTGCTTCCTATTGCTCCATTCCCAGCCCTGCCATGGCTATTGCCTGCACTCATTCCTCTGGCCTCTGCTAGCAGCCTCCACAGCAGCAGCAGTGGGAGTGAGAACAACTGGAAGTAGAATCCCATCAGGTGTTTATATGGTGTTCACACAACATCTGTTATACACTGAATTATATCACCCTCAAAGTATGTGCCAACTTGGGTAGGCCATGATTCTCAGTGGTTTGGTAGTTAAGTAATGATGTAATCATCCCTCATGATGTAATCTGTTGTAAATCATGACCTGTATGGGTTAATGAGGCAGGATTAGGTTATGTTTGTTATGTTTATGAGGCAGAATGAAATCTACAGGATGAGGTTGTAACTTGAGTAAATCTCTTCTGAGACATAAAAGAGATTAAACAAGTGAGATCAGAGATAGAGGGACCCAACTACTACCAAGAAAGAAGATCTAGGAGTGGAGCATGTCTGTTGGACTTAGGGTCCCTATGCTGAGAACTGCTAGACTAGGGGAAGACTGATGCCGAGACACATGGAGATCTCTAAGGAACGCTGGGCCTAAAGACGCTGAAAGGAGCAAGGACCTTCCTGCACTGCTGACAGAACAAAAGCCTTCCTTTAGAGCTGGTGCCCTAAATTTGGACTTCCAGCTTCCTAAACTATGAGAGAATAAGTTTGTTTGTTAAAGCCATAAACTTGTGGTATTTCTGTCATAGCAGCACTAGATAACTAAAACATCAAAATTACATAACATCATATTGCACAGACTGTACTTTAGATGTTAAGCAACACATACATTTGTATCTGTCACACACCTTTTGCTGATTCTACTTTTTACAGATGTACAACTATTGATACCAATTACAATAACTACCTGTGCAATCCTAGTCTTAACCAACACAAATTTTCCATCACTGTTAACTGCCCTTTTCCTCCTCCCTCCCACACTGGTAACCACTGATAAACTTTGGTCTCTATCCATTTGCCTTTTCTAAGTGGGTCATACAATATTTGTCCTTTTGTGATTGATTTATTTCACTCAGCATGCCCTCAAGCTGAATCTACATGTAGCATGTATCAAGACTTCTTTTCTCCTACTAGGTGAATAGTATTCCATTGTATGTATGCACCGTATTTTTATTTATCCATTCAAGTGTTGATGGACATTTTGGTTGTTTCCACCTTTTGGCTACGGTGCAATGAACAATGGTGTACATTCTGCTTTCAAATCTTTTCATTATATACCTAGGAGTAGGTCATAGGGCAGTTCTATTTTTAGATTTTTAAGGAACTGCCACATTATTTTCCACTATGGCTATAAAATTTTGCATTCTCACCAGCAATGGACAAGGGTTCCAGTTTCCTCACAATATTTGTTATTATTGCCAACATTTTTTATTATTTTTTTTATCTCAGCCATCCTAGTGGGAGTGTTATGGTATCTTACCATTAGGTTTTCATTTGCATCTGATGACTAATGATGTTGAGCATCTTTTTATGTGTTTGATGGCCATTTGAATTTTTGTCTTTGGTAAAATGTCTACTGAAGTCCTTTGCCCATTTTATGATTGGCTTGTCTTTTTGTTGTTACACTCTCAATACACATTTTGGTTATTAGATGTTTGTCCAATATATTGTTTCTCAAAGATATTCTCCCAGTCAGTAGCTCATCTTTCACTTTTTTGGTAAAGTCTTTTGATAAACAAAAGTTTTAAAATTTTATTAAAAAAAAAAAAAAAACCCAAACCAAACTCACTGCTGTGGAGTTGATCCGACTCATAGTGACCCCTCCTTGGGTTTCTGAGGCAGTATCTGTACAGAAGTAGATTGTCCAGTCTTCCTTCTGAGGAGTGGCGGGTGGGTTTGAAGCACCAGCCTTCTGGTTAGCAAACGTCTCAGGCACTATGCCACTAGAACTCCCTTAAATTTTATTAGGTCTCATTTATTTACTTTGTCTTTTGCTGTTTGTGCTTTCTTTATTAATCTGTTCTTGAAAGTTAGATCTGACAGCACTGCCTCAGGAGTTTTTCTAAGAATTTTATGGTTTTAGTTTACATATTTAGGTCCTTAATCCATTTTGAATTTGTTCTGAGTTTTAACTATTTTTAAGAATTTAATGATGTCACTGAATTATACAATTAAACCTAGTTAAAACAGCAAATTTTTGTGCTCTGGATATTTTACAATAAAAATTTTATAAATGTATTATGAAAAATTTACAAAATGAAGTAAATGTGAAAGCAATTTAAATAACTTTCAAATGCATTTGAAGAGCTTGTAGTGTTTATGCTTCTGGACTGGGCTCATGTCGGGGCAATCTTGGTGGAGTTATGGTGGTGCTCCATCCCCTTCCCTGCCACCCCCATATGAGAAGTAAGTGTCTTGTCAGCACAGTCAGAGATGATGCTTTGAGCATGGGATAATGTATTTCCATGTGAAAGGGGTAGCTTTAACAAAGGAGTCAGAGGACTAACTTTATGAACAGAGATTTCAGAAAAGTATCAGTTACCTTTTCGATGTCATCAGCATATGCAGAAAGACCTGGCTCCAGTGCTCGGAAGGTTTCATGGATCAAGGTGGGAGTTTCTAAGGAGAAAACGTATTTTAAAAAGGAACAACAATAATTTTCCCTCAGGGTATCTCCGTATGAATGCATATTTTTAAAGTAGACATCTGACAAGGTAGTGCCAACCTCAGAGTGCTTCATTTACTACATTCTCCCTGTCCCCATGAGTGAATAGGACCCCTTCCTTGTCTCCTGTCTACATTCTGTCTCTTCAGCTCAGTTACACAAGGGGCGGATTCTGCCTTCTCTGTAATCTTAAATGTTTTGGCCAGCACTTCACTTTTTCCCAATCAACTTTTTTAAAGTATAATTTACATAAACTGCATCACTTAATGTGTTCTGTTGTAAGAGTTAGTTCTTGCTGATTGAACAAACAGAGGAACAGGTAAATACCTACAAACTGTAAATATGAAAATCATGTCCTCAATCTGGGATGGATGCATTAAATGTTCTAAAGAAGATTTAATTTTCTTTTTTAAAAATGGAGTGTTTTATATTATTAGGAATAGTCTGGGTTGCTGTGCACACAGCAAGGAAAAGTGTTCAGCAGCATTCTGTGGCCAAAGGATGTTAGCCCTAGTACAGACACAATGAACCAAAAGGGAAAATTAAACCAGAAAAACTCAAGGGACAAAAACTTTTTGTGGATCTTTCTCCAAAGATAAAACACTGGAATCACTTTATGACCATGTAATGCCACTCTATGCAATATATTTTATTTTCCTAAACTGTTAAAGTCACTTTAAATCAAAGATAACAAAACTGGCATATTTCCATTTTTCCAGAAACTGGCGGTTCAAATCCACCAGCCGCTCCTCGGAAGGAAGATGGGGCAATCTACTTCCGTAGTGATACTGCCTCGGAAACCCAAGGAAGGGTCGCTATGAGTCGGATCCAACTTGATGGCACATAACAACAACAACACTCCTACATCGAATGAGTTTTCCTAATGATAAATACTTTATCATTGTTGAGTGAAAAAAGGTAGTCAATTGTACAGTGTGTTACCAATTGTCTAAGAAAAAGAGGAGAGAGGAAGAAAATATTGCATACAAAAAAAAAATCTCTGGAAAGACACATAGAAACTAATCATTGTGGTCACTCACAAAGGAGGTGTAGAGAATTGGAAGGTAGGAGGGAAGTAGGACTCTGGACACCTTTCTGCAAATGTTAAATCTATTTAAGTTACTAAGAAAAGTGGTAAATCTCATTATATGCTGACTTGTGCTATCTTACACTTAGCTTTAAATCCATACTTTGATGCAGGTATGACATTGAAATACTGAATTATAGTAAGTTAAAAAATAAAGCAGATTAAATTAGAAGTAAATAAATGTGACATAATAGCTTTAGATGAGCTACTAAGTTTTTAGAGCTCAGTTAAATGCCTAGATGGCAAGTGCTCAAAAGATACAAAGATTAGTGAAGGTGCCTGGGGGGTAAATGAGGGATACTGGCCCCAAGAAAAGTTCAATCTCAGAGCCTTCAGCCATAAAGGCAGCAATGGGGATGGGGACAAAGTCTAGGGGAGGAGGCAAGGACAGCAGCACTTGCTCAAGTGCTGAGAGCCAAAGAGTACCCAGGGGTGATGCCCAATGCTCATCCTTGCTCCTGCCAGGGCACTTGCCCTCCATCTGGGATCTAGCTGTCTGGAGACTCAGTCCCCATCATCCTTCCAGTACTGATAACTCACTCATTGACTACCTCCCTCTGCCACCTGGACACCCACATGTAACTCTGCCTCCCAGCCCAGGCTTCTGGTCCGGGCTACTTATCTGAATTTCTGAACTCCTGACCTATCTATCTGAATCTGGAACAACTTCCTATCTCAAATTCTCCACATATGACCTCTGGACTGTAATGGTCCCAGCTACTTTGACCTGCCTGACTAAACACTGGCAGGGGACAGGCCACCAAATACCCTTATATTGTCATTAGACCCCTAGTGTGAGGCAGAACCTGGGACACTTGGAAAATTTAGATTCCTGGGCTCCATCTGAGCCTTTTGAGTCAACACCTTCTGAGTCAACATCTCTGGGAAATTTCATTTTTAACAACTGTCTAGCTGATTCTACAGCAGAAGGTAGACCGCCCACCAAGAAACCACCACCTTTTAGGGGGAGAAGGTGTAGACCATGGCATAGGCCCACAGAGGCCAAGGCCAGGGCTTTTTGCCCAGGGATACCTCTGGACTGCTGGGCAAACTGGAAGATGTGTATGCGGGTGCCAGTGCTTCCTGCGTCGAACATTATCCCGTAGAAGACTGTGTGAACATGCCCTGCTGTCCCAATGGGGCTGTGGGCTTGCTGGCCTCTGTGTGCCCCCACAGCCACCTCGGTGATGCTGAAGAAGGCCTGGGTGACAGAGGCCCAGTGCCACTTGATGTAGCCGACATAAATGAACAGGCACACAAACAGCCCCAGTGGGTATGCCATCTTCAGGTTCCCATTAGTTGGTATTTTTCTCATTCTTTCTCTATCGATGATTATCTCACAATTGCTGTTGAAGAGGGAGAAGAGGTAGGAAAAATACATTAGGCTGCAAGGTCACAAAGAGAGTTAGAAATCCACTATGTCCAGGAATAAAATGTTCAACCAGAAACTGGCTCCATTTTTATCCCTGGAATCAGAGTATTTGATTCTCAAAATGATTCTGAAGGCATGACCCCCATTTTACAGAAGAGGAAATGAGTGTATAAAGACCAGACAACCTGCCCAGGGTTTCGCATCTTGCAAGTGCAGCATAAGCCTAGTGCTCGGCTCCAAAGCTGGCATTCAATACCTTCTTAAGTGCTGTTCTAGACACAACAGCTTTCAAGCTAGTTACTATTTATATAAAAAAGCTACTTGTGAGCTGGAGTCCCTCTCCTTTCCAGTTAACAGAAATGTGTATCTGATATATTCTTTCCAGCCTCATTTATACTTTCATACATAGAGTTTACTTTTTGACACCTGTCCCTCTGGGAAGTGAGGAGAACCAAAAGCAGAGGCAAGAAATATATTTGTTTGTTTCCAAATAATATTTTACACACGCTTCTCATTTACTGACATGGTTAGGTTCCAAAGACTAGGTTTTTATGTGAAACAGGTATTATGGGAGACTCAGGGGCCATGCCCTGTCTTCAGTGCTAGTGTCCCCCAACCATGACCTCAGTTGTTATCTTTTGGGCATCCCTGGTGTGTCTAGGGATGCATGTGGCATGGTGGGCCTCATTCCTCACCACCAAAGAGCCCACAGGGGTTAGGAGTGGGGGTGGTGGTCTGGTGTTGCCTTGTCCCTCCTCCTGTCCTGGGTAGAGTTCTTGCTTGTCCTCCACTTGTGGTGGGGAGTGACCCTGCTCATCTTCATCTGAAGCCTTTCCTTTCACCCCTCCCTTTCTGCCTTCCTCATCCCCCAAACCTCCCTGGCATCTTTGGACCCTTGCTTGGTCTTCCCTTACCCGTTCACAACCTTGTGCTGTCCTACCCTACTCTGTGGCCAGACCCAGACAAATGATAATTGACCATCTTATTATCTAACACTTTGCACTTGTTGTTGTTGTTGTTATGTGCCATCAAGTTGGACCCGACTCATAGCGACCCCTCCTTGGGTTTCCAAGGCAGTATCACTATGGAAGTAGATTGCCCCATCTTCCTTCCGAGGAGTGGCTGGTGGGTTTGAACTGCTAGCCTTCTGGTTAGCAGGCAAGTGCCTTAGGCACTATGCTACCAGAGCTCCAGTAAAAAAATCTATCCAATTATTTTGCACATTAATGATGTATGTCTGGCTGTAATGAATACTGAGGTATGAGGCGAGAGTAACACTAGCTGTGATGGTTAAGGTTATGTATGAGCTTGGCTGGGCCACGATTCTCAGTGATCTAGCAATTATGTAATGTTTTAGTCATCCTCCATTTTGTGATCTGATGTGGTCTACCATTTTTGCATAACACTGATTTTTGCATAATGTCCTGGTCTTTGAAGCTAACCATGTCAGAAAGTGAGGAGTAGATGTTTTGTATTTTCATTAAAGGTTTAGGTTCCCATTCAATAATTTCTACACAAATTGTTCAGTGACATTGGTTACATTCTTTATACCACTTTCATTATTTCTGTTCTGGTTGTTCCATTCCATTAATCTAGTTTCTCTGTCCCCTTACCACCATCTCATCTTTGTTTTAAAGTCATTATTGACTATTTTATCTCATAAAAACAAGTTTTCAAAAGAGTAAAGTATTCACAAGTGGTATTATTTATTTTGTGAGCCAATCTGTTAGGGGCTAGTTTTAGTTCAATATTTAAAGAGTATCTCAATCTCAGAACAACAGTCTCAGCATCTTCTAATCTCAACTAGTCCAGTAAATTTGGATTATTTTTAAGAATTGAGGGTCAGTTTCCCATTTTTCTCCCATTCTATCAGGATCCATCTACTGTGGCCCTTATCTGTAGCAGTAGCTGAGCACCATCTAGTTCTTCTAGTCTCAGAATATATGAGACTATTAGTCCTATAGACTAGTATCTTCTTTGAGTCTGGTTTCCTTCTTTCACTTTTGCTTTGGACAAGTAGAAACCAGGGTCAGTTGTATCTTAGATGGTTGCTCGCAAGCTTTTAAGACCACAGATATCATTCATCAAACTACGATGTAGAACATTAACCAAGTTGTCCATAAGACTATGTTACTAAGGCTCCAAATCCAGAAATCCAATGTTTGGTTATGTCTAAGAAGTATTCTTAACAATGTTCCCATGTTCTTTATTATATATTGACTATATATACATACATACACATGCATATACATATACATACACCTATATATACCTCATATTTGGAAAAGTAGAGGGTCAGTGACAAAGAGGAAGACCCTCAATGGGCTGAATTGACATAGAGGCTGCAACAATGGGCTCAAGCATAGCAACAATTGTGAGGATGGTACAGGACCAGGCAATGTTTCATTCTGCTGTACATAAAGTCACTATGAGTTGGAACTGACTCGATGACACTTAACAACAACAATAAATACACACATATGTGCTCACATATATATACCTCCACATGTGTATATATATGCCAACACATACATATGTACCCACACATATACTTTTTAGTTATTGTTGCTTGTAACTTGTTTTTGTATGCTTCATACGAGATGCTTGCTTTCATTCACATAGCACGTTCCTGCCAAGGAGGAAAGGATGTCTATATACTTTCAAACCCTATAAAAGTTCTATCCAAGAAGTAAAAGAAACTAATTCAGCACTATTATTTTCAGTTCAACATACCCTAAACCAAAACCATTTGTTCAGGTTTTATCAGCAGCTCCTATTAGATAACATTACAAAGCACAGGAATTCCAGAACACATGGATCGAGAGAAAATTGTTTGAATAGAACAAGGGGATGTTGTGTGGTTTAAAACTGAAAAAGGTGTGGCAGAGCTGTATTCTTTCACCTTACTTATTCAATCAATCAATTCAATGTCACTTTGATGATTACGGTGCACCTTCTGACCCAACCCATGGTATTTTCAATCATTTCATATGCACTGACAATGAGAAAGGAACCTAAGAACTAAGGCATTTGAATTGTGGTGTTGGTGAAGAATTATGACTATACTATGGACTGTCAGAAGAACACATAATCTCGTCTTGGAGAAGTACAGCCTGAACGCTCCTCAAAAGCAAGAATGGCAAGACTTTGCCTCTCTTACTTTGGATGTCTTATCAGGACATACCAGCCACTGGAGAAAGACATGTTTGGTAAAGTGGACAGTCAGCAGAAAAGAGGAAGACCCTCAATAAGATGGATTGATACAGTAGCTGGAATAATGGGTTAAAGAATCAAACATATCAACAATTGTGAGGATGGTACAGGACTGGGAAATATTTCATTCTGTTATACAAAAGGCCACCATGAGTCACAGTTGACCAGCATCAACAAAGTGCAAGGTGGTGTCTTTAGAGAAGCAAAGTGCCCAGCTCTCAGAGTTGGAGTGTGTCTTTCTGTCTGCTGTCACATTCTCTGACAGTAACCATAAGAGAGGAGATAGGGAAGAGCTGGGTTTGGGAGTAGGATTGGGGGTCAGGGCTCACTGATCTTTACTAGAATGGCAGAGGTCTAGGAGTCTGACTACAGCTGCTCTTCCACCCTCATCCATCTTCATATCATCACCAAACACACTCGAATCTCCGTGTTTAAAATCCTTGGCTCTGAGGTCAAGCAGGTCATAAACAAGCCACAGGGTGTAGTAAAGGTAGAAGTGAGGAAGTTGGGAGGGCAAGGTCTGACCAAATACACTCAGATTCAGACTGTAAAGGTATGAGTCACAGCTCACTTTGCCAATGAAGATGACAAGTCACACCTCCATTGAGATTTCTGTCTGCTTTAAAATTTTTTTCTTAAAAAAAAATTCTATTGCCTTTTTAAGATGGCAATGAAAGCAAAGACAGGAGCTTCTGCCCCTCCCCAAACTGAAGCCAAAGCAAGGGCACTAAATACCAAGAAGGCAGTGCTGAGAGGTGTCCAAGTGCCACAAAAAAAGAATATCTGCACATCATCCCCCTTCCAGTGGCCCAAGACACTGAGGCTCCAAAGGCAGCCCAAATATCCTTGAAAGAGCACTGGATCAGGAGAAACAAGTTTGAGCACTGTTTCATCACCATGTTCTCCCTGACCACTGAGTCAGCCATGAAAAAGATAGAAGATCTCTTGTATTCATTGTGGCTATCAAGATCAATAAGCACCAGATCAAATAGGCTGTGAAGCTGTATGACATTGACATGGCCACAGTCAATGCCTTGATGAGACTTAACAGACAGAAGACGACATATGTTTGACTGGCTCCTGACTATGATGCTTGGGATGTTGCCAAAAAAATTGGGATCATCTAAACTGAGCTCTGGTAGGGTAGTGCCTAAGGCATTTGACTGCTAACCAGAAGACTGGCAGTTCAAATCCACTAGCCACTTCTCGGAAAGAAGATTGGACAATCTACTTCTGTAGTGAAACTGCCTTGGAAACCCAATGAGGGGTCACCGTGAGTTGGATCCGACTCAACAGCAGTGAGTTTTTTTTTAGTTTTAAACTGTATCAAACTGGCTAATTCTAAATATAATTTATTTCACCAAAATAAATAACATCCTGTTCCTTTGGTCCTTTCTCCATACTTAGAAACCAGATAGAATACATTACGGAGGGGACATAAACCAGGAACAATGAAGACCACCAGTCAGGTCTGTGGCTGCTCCCAAGGGGAGGGGAAGCTCCTCGTCCCTAAAGTCCAAGTCTAAACACCAATTTCATTCCTTTCAGTTAAGGTGTTTGTCTAGAGCTAAAGCATCCACCAAGAGTACATATCACATCTCCACTGGTGCCAATAACACCACAGAGGTTCACTGAAGAGAACAATTCCATTTTAGTTTACTTTTTAAAGCATTTGACTGCTAACCCAGAAGGCTCATGGTTCAAACCCACCAGCCACCCCTCAGAAGGAA